ATTCTGAAATATATCAATCCACATTTAATTGTCAAACTAAATTGATAATGTGTAGACTTTATATAAAGCCGTAGGGAGCACATTTGTACAGTAACGTGCTAGAATGACAGGTTCAGCCCCTCGAAAATATCAAAAGTTCAACGATATCCGCTTCACTACGAATACTGAATTTTTAAACACGTGCAGATATTATTCCTACTATTCTGAAAAGTGCTGGGAGCTGGTTGTGCATTGTTTATTTATTCCGTAATGTAACATTATTTCAATACGTATTACATTTTTGTCTTGAGTTTATGGAAAGACGGCTTAATTTTAGACAATTCCCGAGCATAAGGAAGTTGCTCCCAGCACTTTTCGTGTTAAGGAATTTGTCTCAAAGAAAACAGAATAAATTTTATAGCGGAAAAATGCCCATATATCGTTGAACTTTTACGATCTTTGTAACAGTACATATATGTTCTAATTTTAATCCTGTCACGTGACAAACAGCTGAGGTAAGCGATGTCGCTTTGGCCGAACTTAGCAGAGACCCTATATATATAAGTGCAAACACCACAATTCACATTTTTTTACTCTAATGCTGTTAAAAAAATATTAAAATTGTATTCATTTTCCCTGAATATATTAAGGCGTATATTTCATGGGCGTCCTTAACCTAGCTGCGTAAACTATCAATGGAAACCTAGGGGAGAGACACGGCGCAAGTAGTACCTTACCCAGTCCCCGTCTGTACTGTGTGATATACCCTCAGACAGAGGTGTCTTAATAATCATTCCAATCATTGACTCAGACACAGTAAAAGGTATACATATTCGATATATATCCCTTATAAGAGAAATACCGACATCTTACGAGCGAACGTAACTCGCACTAACTTCCCGTATCTCGGTAGTTTTCCCGGGACCAGTTATTGCACCTAGTTTAAAATTAATAAATCGGAAAAATTAAGTGTATGTGTGTAATAGAACGGACAGTATTTTAATCACTTTGTAAATGATAATTTCTCCTGTCTAATTTTCTGTAAACACTTACAATGTAATTAAAAGCGAACAAATGGAAGAAAATAAGCCAAAATACCTATGACGGGTTAGGAAACACATTTGTCATGCGTCAGTGGTTATACGTATATTTGTACATGTATATACTAGTGTGCACTGTGTTCATTTGGGGAGAGTTACTTTTTTTAGCATGGATGAAATCGAAACTCATACCCTGTATAAATCCATGCAAAGGCAACAAGTTACTAGGTGATGCGCTTATATAGTGTCTTGTATTTAAAAGTGTACATTTATGTGTTTGAGAGAGAGAGAGAGAGAGAGAGAGAGAGAGAGAGAGAGAGAGCACAATGGACAATAATTGTTGTAATGAATTATACAATGTAGCATTGTTTTCTAACGTTTCAGAAATCATGCAACCATTAAAAATCAGAAAATAGTTGGCACGTCTCCGGAAAACGTAATATTTTTAAGGTGGTCGCGCGTAGATGTTTGTGTACTTGGGGAGGGAGAGGGGGTCGAAGCTCAACTAATCAAATCAAATGTCCATTTTTATTTCATTAAAGTAAATGCATGGAATACTACGATCCATATACTACAATCCTTATAAAAGTGGAATAAGGCAATGCATGCATATGCAATATTTTTTTTTCCATAATAAGAAACATAAGAAAGAAGGGTAGGTTTTTCTTTATGTGAAATATCACTTCAAAGAAATAAACGAGCATTCATATGATTGACAGTGTCTTCTTCGATGAAGTATTATCTTGCAATCTTCACTTAATGTATCTTATGACTGTCTTTCATGATATATGTTATATCTGTATAGATATGTGGATTATAAAAGCTGCAAATTATGCATTTGGGTAGAGTCAAAGACATAGCATCTTTTTTTAAAGGGGGGGGGGGGGAGGTGGTCAGCCAGAGAAAAAAAAATCAACTTACCTGGAAAAACCTGACAAGCAAAAAAAAATTCTTCTTTCGGTACCAATTTTTATTCATACATTACTACATTAGCCTTATTTGACTGTACTGCAACAAGGGTGTGCGTGTGTGTGTGTGTAGGGGGGGGGGAGGGGGGCAAAAAACCTTTCAATGAACATTTCCAATAGTAAAAAAGTAATGTGTGGAAAAGGTGGGAGCAGGCCCCTCTGATGCTACATGTCTGTGGGTGGTGTATATTTATTAAATTTTCTTTGTACTCAAGCTATGTACCATTACGTCATTGTTTGCTAAGCATGCATTATTCGTCAGAATATAAAATTACAAGATATACTGTATACGTGAAGGGTAACTTTGACCCCGCACTCAGAGTAATTTCGACCGAAGCTCTTATGTACAGAGAAAAAAAAAACTATAGTCGAAATTATAACTTGCGTCATCTCTGAGAAAAAAAAAAATCATAGATTGATTCAAGTATGCTGACAAAATGATACTGTAGTTCTCAAAATCCCGTGTCAAGGATTGCAACCCCCTTGGCACGCTAAAGATCGTTTCTCTGGTTTTCGAAAAAGAGTAGAATCGGTGGGGGCCTCCAGAAAAACCCTAAAACTTTCAAAACCGTTCCTATAAAATTTAAATTCATACCGCCGAAATATGGCTAAAAATATTGCCGAATTGGCGAAAAACAAAGATAATCAATCAATCAATCTCAAGAACAACTAAGCCACATTAGTAATACGAGGGGTGATCAAAAAGTTCGCGAACTATCTCTATATTTACAAAATTAAAATTCATATCAGAATGAAATTTGGCACACATATAGTCATACAAATTTTCTATCAATAGCAGATGTTATATAATTTTTGCTCCGTGTTTGAGACGTCAAAATGTGGAAATGACCTCAATGTGTAGGTGACTTGTGACAAAAAATGGTTGACTCAGTCGTACTCGAGCAACGAACGGTTATAAAGTTTAACCTATATCTCGGAAATTCCTTTGCAGTAAAATATGAGAATTTGTACAAGGTTTATGAAGACAAAAGACTTACCAGAATATCAATAACTAATTGGATCATTAATTGGATTGATTGTTTTAGTGAAGGCAGGGAGATGGTTAAAAATGATGTTTGTCCTGTTGCTCAGCGAAGGAAAGCCGGTAAATAAATGTGTCTTTAGTTGAGCAATTTGTTTTGAGAAATAACTAAGTTACAGTTAGAAAAATAGTTGAATATCTGAACAATAGTGTAAATATTAAATCCCTCAAATATCGTTTACTTTGGACTTTAATCATATGAGATATAAAAAAAAAAGAAGAAGCCCATACTTTATCGACATTGGATAAACGACGCTCCCGAGACAGAGGACTCGGGTTGTGATGATTACCATGCTAATTCTGGGAAGGGATATCCTTATCCACCCATCATATTGCCAAACTTTTGTCATTTTTGAGGGATAATCTGTTCTTGCTATAAAAATAACTTGTATGGTAAGAAATATAAGATTCGGAAAAATCTCTGTGAACAGACCGCTACGGAGCATGTCACGTGACCGCCTGGATCGAACAATGGTAGATGTGCATTTAAATCAGAGAGGACTACCGGTACTTTAAAAAAATAATGAACGCTGAAACCTCATTTTATTACATATAAGGAAGTGAGTCAATTAGTTCGCAAATTTTTTGATCACCCTTCATATTTATACAGAAGCAACGTTGGGTATTGTAGAATCAAGTTTGTTCAAATTATGACCCCAGGGGTTGGGAGGCGCACTGAAGAGAGTCAAAGTTTTGCATATGAATATATAGGAATCATCTTGAAAAAAAATCTTCTGTTCAAGAACATCAAAGTCATGATTAGTCATATTATTATAGAAGCATCCTCAGGTAGTATAGATTCAAATTTGTCCAAATTTAGAGTGGGTAGGGGTGGGCCACAACGAGAGATCATAGTTTTACATAGAAAAACATAGGGGGAAAATCTTTAAAATTCTTCTGTTTGAGGAAAGCAAAGCCTTGATTAGTAATATCGATATGGAAGCATTCTGAGAGTGCGCCCCCCCCCCCCGTTTAATAATGAACTTATTTCTGCTTCTTCCTAGCCAATGTGCTCATGTAAACGATATGGTAAATTGGTAAACTTGTTGGTAAACTTGAGGTCTGATAATATGTTGTTTTAATTAAAAAAAAATCAATACATATTTGCTCCCCAAAACTCACTTTTCAAAGAAGTGGCCATTGCATGTCGGAAGTTTTTGTATTCAGTGGACACGTCATTCAAAAAAATCAGACGCCGCTGCAGTTTTCTGAATTTCAGACATGGCAAAAATTTATGCATCACGCCATTTCATGTATATGAAAGGCACAATTTAAAAACAATTTTATTTTAAAGTTATGTTTACATGCTATCAAAAGCATTTCGCAATAACATTACAAATGGATAAACTTAAGGGCGGTTGAATTTAAGTTTCTCGAATTAATAAAATCGTCTAAAATAAATAAATCTAGTCTGTTGTATTCTATACCACTTTGAACAGTTGTTGTAATGTACACATATATTATAAACGCCCTGTACATTTGACCCACTATTCTACTTGTATGAAATACTAATGTAACTATCGGAAAAAGGTATCAATATAAACTTTTGTTCTTTATGACTCGCGTGTTTCTTGATATACTTCAGATGGATTTGTGTTTAGGAAAGAGTAATATTTTCTGAAGATGACAACATCATATGTACAATATAGAGATTGACTTTGAATGCGGATTATGACCACTTTTACATAGACATATGTTGAAAATGAGACAAAGTATCCTTGTCAAATACAAGCTTAATTAAGGTTGTTCACATGAAGATTTTTTTTGTCATAACATATACACTACTTGACGTTGTATATTAATAAAGATCCTTTAGATCCTATGCTTGAGAGATTTCAATGTTTTATTAAAATTCAAAGTTTATTTTGGAATAATGTGTGAATACACATGAGAAAGGAATTTATTTATATAAATTTCATAGATGAGATATACAGATAATTCAAAGACTGTCTTTGAGATGTCTTGGTATCTGTTCCTTTAATCTATTCACAGGTTGAAATCAGTCTCTTCCGCTCCACACGTGTTTAAGATGCCAATTGTGCCAATAATTTCTCTTCACATTCCTGTAACACAGTACATGTGAATTCCAGTATGATATAATGTTCAGCGTAAGAAATAATTCAAAAGGTAGGGTATTTCATACAAATTTATTAATTTTCAACTTAGGATAACAAGCCTATATGACAATTTCTTACTCCAACGATTCCAAAGATCTCACTCTGTCTGAGGCTGACTTTGGGTCTCCATTGGCTGAAAAATTAAGCATTATATTAAAGGGACTTCAACACAAGTTTGAAGTTACTACTCTTTTTTTAACATTTTCGGTATAGTATCACGACTTACATATCGCTAGAGCATTTCAGACCCATGTACTATAGAAGCACGCTTAAAAACTACTTTCATCTGGAGATTATCAAAACTTCGAATTTCGGGAGGCGTTTGGTTGACACACATTCTTGCAAAGTAAGATTTGTACTTAATATTTAAGAAAAATAGGTAATTTTTGTGCGGTAATGAAAACTATTAATACTTTATTATAGAAAATCTGTCACGGTCCAGTCGTCCGAAGGTTCTCTAGTCCGAAAGTCCACTAGTCCGAAGTTTCACTAGTCCGACGGTCCACTAGTCCGGATGTTCATTAGTCTGAATGTTCATTAGTCCGAAAGCGCACTAGTCTGAAGATTCAGTAGTCAGAAAACACAATGTAGTCCGTAACAGTTAAAAATGCCCTGCTCTGTGCAATTGTTCTATATTGTATCTTAAGAAGTCCCTGTAGTTTGGGGTTGAATTTCGGACCACAAAATACTGACTAAAAATTGATAGAAATTTGAGACTATTTCCTTGTATTCATATTCCCGCATCTCAGCCCTTTCTTTCTCCTCTGTTTACCGGTCAGGTTGGTAGTGTGGAAGGGCGCCCGCTTTTTGATCGGGAGGCCCGGGTTTGATTCTCGCGATGCGTCAATTCTAAGCCGTTAACTTAGGAAAAATCGTTACCATAGATAGTGAATTTTTCCGAAACAAAGCGATCGGTATCAGGAGTGAAAGTCACGGGTCTTTCGAATGGGACATTGAAACCCGAGGTCCCGTGTCAAAGAAGAAAAAAGCCAAATGGAAGTATCTAAAATAAATGAAATTCGATGCCTCTATAATTTAAAATGCAGTATGAACAGCACTGATATATATATTACAGGTAAACAAAACATTTATTGGCTTCTTAGGATATATGTGCTACAAGCAAACATTTGATGCAGGGATTGATATATTTTTTGACTGATTTTAAATAAAAATGACAGGAATTATAATAAATCCCTAAAATTTGAAGAAATCGCAAGTTTTCCTTGGTGCTTAGATATGCGAAGTTTTGTCTTTTTCTATCAGAATCTAACCAAAATTTTGCACATTTTTAACATCGTAACAAAATCTTGCATAATACTGCCATTTTACATGAAAGGCATTATTCTGGTTACCTATTAAATATAAATATATGAGAAATTCTGCTGATTATTGAAAAAAAAAAAATGTTTGTATCTGTTCTTTATCCTGAAACCTATTTCGTGGAAAATGGGAAGGGGTGGGAGGTGGGGGTAGACGTTATAGAGACTTTTGTTTTGAATCAGCCCTTATACTACATGCCAGAACATTATTTGGGGATTAAATTGAGAGTATATATACAAGTTAAACAAACAAAAGGAAAAAGTCTCAAACGAGGAGAGGAACTGCGCAGCAATGTTAAGGCTTCCCGAAGCTTTAAATGCGTTCAAAAAATAACACTGCATTGTAAGGTCGATTTTTATTTTTATTTGTAAGTTATATATTTAAGTACGGCCAATTCATATAGCGAGTTCTCTAGGCTATATATAAACGTATTTGTTACGATATCACATGATCTCGTTGATCACGTGACGGTCATTTCTACTTTTTTGAAGTGTTTCAGATAAATCGCGTAGGCGCAGGTGATTAACACAATTATTATTAACTTTTTGTCACATAAATAAACTCGTCGCATCCTTGTGAACCCGAAATGTGCTTGGGAAAAGTTATACTATTCCTCTGGTACAAAATATTTCACAATAAACTCAACTTACCTACAAATTTGAGGGTATTTTCCACTCAATATCGTCATCTGTATTAAACCAAAGCCATCAGACATTTTTCCCAAGCAAGATTTAGTTAGAGAGGAAACTCCTCTTACAGATTTCCACAAAAGATCTCAAATAAATCCTCATTAATCAACTGCGCCAGGCTCTTTTATACACATATTATAAATTCTACCTCTATCCAAGGGTATAAAAAAGGGTAAATGTCAAACGTATATTTTCGTATATATTTTGAACACGCTGACTTTTAAACAAGAGTAATAAAGCAAAGTTATCTAAACTATTCGGATATATATAAGATTTTTAAAAAAAAGATTAAAACACCTTTATTTTACACTACATTCCTGACACTTTATATGCAGATTGAAATAAGGTGTAAAGTTTATGACACTCTCCCCATCATAACAGCTCAAGTTTGCAGTGACTTGACGTCATTTTCAATTATGACGTCATATATTTGTAGTTCAGAGAAGTGAAGGCATAGAGTACACTGCAATATTCTCTGGGAAGCCTTAACGTACCTGCGTTGGATCTTCCTTTTCAATAAGATCAAATTAATAGGGAGGTGAAAATCGTTATAATGCAAAGTTAAATGGCATAAATAACTAAGTCTCACGTATACGATTACGCTCAGTGACATTTTAATAAAAGAGATCCATGTACTCTCATTGGGATGAGTGACTAATATTCCATCGAAAAATTGTCAAGTAAGTAAAAGGTGGTTTGTGTCAAAATTTAAAAAAAAAAAAGTACTGAACTTGTTTGCTTGTTGGGAAATTATCATTAAACCAAACATTTGTATGAGTAAAGTGGAGAATTTGAAGAAAAAAAATAATTCGGGAAATTTAATGCTGTGGGAAAATGAAGATATGCTGCATAGAATGAAATAGAATAGAATATAATAAGTTTTATTTTAAGTTATGATAATTTGTGCATGCATTATGCAATCCTAATTTAATTTGTGAATACCTGAACAATCCATGATGTTTTTTGACCAAAATCTAAATAATATGCTTACCATGAGCTGATTAATTGAAATTTAAAATCCATAGTGCTTTAAGACGACTAAAAAGTAATTCATTACAACAATCCTGTTCTTATGTGCACTACGTAAAAGTTAGATATATTCCGAAACAATCGGTGGGGGTGGGGGTGCTTTAAGTATATATGAATGTCTAGCCCTCGAGCGAAAAATGCACAAGATAATGTAACTCCAGGTCAATTTTATAAAGCTTTAATCTAGCATACGCCTAAAATTCAATAAAACGTATGTGGAAATTATTTGTTATATATTTCAAATCGGAGTTAACGACATTTGAAAACCAACAAATAATAGAAAATTACATATCGATATATAACCGGGCGAACTTCAACTTTTATTAAATTCTATAATGATAATCAACAAAAGTATACGTTCCATAAAACGTTATATTTCTAAAAAGCAATATATATCGCTCCTTGTTGTAAACAAAATGTTTGTAACCTTTTTTTTTCAACCGGACTTCGGACTTATGGGTCTTCGGACTAGTGGGCCGTCGGACTAGTGAACCTTCGGACTAATGCGCCATCGGACTAATGAAACTTCGGACTAGTAGGTAGACCCCGAAAATTCAGAGTAAAGTTGTTAGAAAGCAAAAACAGTGTTCCCAGGTCATTTTAAGTGATGTATGCAAAGTTAACAAATTGATACTAAGCAGTAAAACGTAAACATTAACAATAACAGAGCTTTTGTCTATGTTTACAAAAAGAGATGTATTAAGTAATGTGCAACTGCTACGCCTAAACAGACCTAGTGGCAGGACAATATCTACTAAAATAAAATATCAAATTTAAAACCTTAAAAGGTCCATAATATTCTTTTTTCCGTAAAATTGAGAGAAATCTAGAGAGAGAGAGAGAGAGAGAGAGAGGAGAGAGAAGGGTTTTAAAATGATATTTACCTGGCAGATTAACACTTTCGTCCACTTCTCCTTTGGAAACCTTTTCTTTCCATGCTACAGATGCTGTTGACATCGGCATGTATAGTTCCAAACAGATCTGAAGATTTAATAACATCTTACGAGAGTTAAAATGTTACGAATATTTTTTATTAGTTACACATAGATTCAAATTCTCAGTATAAATGGATGTTTTTTTCTTGTGTAACGTCCTTTGAAACAATTTTTCACTCATACAAAGGTCACCAATTACCGACGTAGGGCTTTAAATTAAGACCTTTACTCGCATTTAAGGCCATTGTGCAATGAAAGTTCTGTAGGATGCCAAACACTACCATGACACGTGACCTCAATGACTTAGTGCAGGGCTTCTGGGATGGAAAGTCACTTCATGCTTTATACCTCCTACGTTTAAAGAGGCGTAGGAACTGCGAACGGAAATTAAATAGTGACCCTTCCGATCACGAAGCAAGCATCCCAAAAGACTGCCATTAGGATCGTTACCACAATATAGACATCTATCAATAATTGTAAAACAGAGAATGTTGTTTATGGATACCTGGTAAGGCGGTGCTCTGTTTGACACAAATGAAAATGCAAGGTGGAATTGGATGGTCTTTTGTTAATATATAAAGGACGAATTAAGCAACCAAAATATGTCAACACATAGTACAATTGACAATACTAAACACAATTAAACGCATTAGGTAATAGAAACAAACACATATAGAAGAAACAATCATCAAATCTTAATTTGACTGTATTATGCAATGAGATACGCATGGAAAAAAGATGTACAGTAAACAGAATGCGTTATGAAGATCAAATACTATACTAACATGTTTGGGACAATCTGTCTCTAAACAGTTTTATTGAACCACGTACACTATTCATATTTTTTGGGGGGTGGGGGATTTTTTTCTCTTCAACAGATTTTTTAAAAATTAAAATGGGGAGAATTTTTTGTGTATTTCTTTCGTCACAGAGGAAGAAACATGAAGACCAATTACTTTACTTTCTTTCATAAGTCGGGCTTGTCATTCTTCCAGCGATTTTCCGACAGTGTTGCAAGAATAACTGTGGGGAAAATACGAATGAATGCAAAAAGTTGAATCACTTCAATGTGAACATGTAGTTAAGGGGGTCGAACGAAAATTACGTGTATAAGATAGAGCAGAGTCTTGACAAATATGGAAACATTAAGCTGCTTACACGTCGTAAATGTTCAAACTTCTTTTACCGTGTTTAAGCACCCTGTATCCTTTAAGCCCGCTTTAAATAACCTTTAAACAGTCTTTACACCATCTTTAGACCAACTTTACCTTTAAACTAGTAAAATATAATTCATTTTCTTTTTTGTTTTCTCTCGCCATATGTATAAATTTAGAATTAACATATTTGTAAACTCATCGTCAATGTAAAAGAATGGTACTCTTTTTCTCATATATTTTACATAAAATTTTTTCTCTAAAAAAAAAAAAAAAATCAGATATTTAAATACATGTTTTCAGTGCATTTTTACCAAACCACAAAGACATACAATGTAAATTTCTTTATTTCATATTTTTGTTTTACATTGAGTTTTCCTCTCGTATGCGGAAATCTTCTTTCCGCACCGAACTGCAATAGTAAAATTCTAAGATAACGTTTTTTCTCCCCTTTCTTGGGGATTTTGAATAATTCCGTACCTACACTGTATGTACACAGCATTTAATTATTTTGTTTTGACATCAGGGCGTACTCTTTTCTCTTTCTCTAATTTTTATGATATTTTTTTCCACAAAATTAATTATCTTTACCTAAAAGATTAACAAAGGTCGTAAATAATTAATTTTCGTTCCATCCTGAACAATTTTAATCAATTTGTTGTTACGTAACAATTCACTACGCTTTATTTCATAACAATACAAATGTTTAAGGATATTCTTTTCTTATTCAAAAAAATTAAAAAGCTTAATCAGAATGGCCTAATATCACATTTTAAGATATTTTGAAACATCGATATATTATTTTTGAATTAAAGGTGACTACCGATCCGATTTATACACAACAGGACACAGGATAAATAACAGTATACGGTAGCGGGCAGAGTCGACAATAGGCCTACAATATTTAACTGTGAAGACCTTGAATCCGAAGTATATGTACGCCAACTACTTAGATACTACATGCATAATTCGCGATCAATTCTTAAAAAAGAAGTCATACAGGTAATCAACAAGAATTATTATGTCAAAGAAGAAACAAATATTATTAATCTAGTTCCCAGTTTGTAAAGCAGACATTATGAAATGGCGAGACAAAATAAATAAATGAATAATATGAACAATAATTTACCTAGCGAAAAGGTCTATTGATGGTATAAAGGTTGCCTAAAAGTCTTAAAATGTTGCTTAAGGGTGGTTTAAAGAAGGAATAACGGAATTTGTACATTATGCACCTATCAGTCTGGATTACAGGTAGCTAAAGGATTACTTAAAGACAGTCTATATACCACCTCTAAGCACTTACGTGACTGTATAATCCATCTTTCAGCAACCTTTCACCTACCCTTAAAAGAGTTGGGTATTTCTTAATGGTAGCTTAGTGATGGTTCATATGCTACTATAACATAGTTTAAAGCTGATTAAATATGACTTAAAGACGATCTTTAATCAGCAATTAAGCAACCATAAGCCGTCATTAAGCCAATTTTAAGGAGGTATTTCATCTTGTGCATACTTTTTTTTAAAATCTGCTTCTAAAATCGCTATGCATTATATGATAGAGAAATAGACAGGAGGAATAGAATTTGACAAATAAATGACAATGAATTATTACTCACAAACAAGTAGATGCACAGATATCTCATCATGGCCTTCAGCTTGAGAACAGTTGATGAAATGTATTATCACGATACCTCCTTATATATCATATGGCTCTAAAAAGTAATTGCTATACAATATCAAGATTTTTACAACATTTTGAATCCGAAAGTCTGTAATTAGAATGCTTGACGTAAAATGCTTTAAAAAATGATGCACTTTTGTCAATAAGTGGTTTTAAGTTTCTGTTACAAACCATCTGTTCCTTAGGTAATGCTCAAAACATTTCACCAAAAAATGAAAAAAATAAAAAAATAACGAATAAATTTTAACAATAGAACATTATGAAGACCTTGGATATAATTTATTTTGATACATTTTGATATCAGTTTCAATGTTAAAAGATATTATGAAATACATTATATAATAATGACAAAAGAAAGGCCTATCGATTTTAGGGACTTCTAGTTCCTTTCAATTTATTTTCTTTTAATTTGTATTCACTCTTGTTTATAAGATATACATGTAGCAATACCATTACTGTTATATATTAACCATATTGGTATATGTATACATGTAGTTATGGCTCACACCTATTAAAAGTGAGACTGGTCTTTGTAATTCGACTAGCTAAATGCATTCAGCCAAATAAAGAGATTGACTTACAGGTTCCTTATCGGGATTATTTTTCCATTCTTAATAAAAAAAATAATTGAATACAAATGTGTTCACCTTCACAGCCATGAATCGGATGAGTTTCTCATGCACATTATTATGTTTGCTTATTACTTGTATCGTAAAATATTCTAGGGGTATTGTAAGTATTTGCAAGTTTTTCATATACAGTACTGTAAGCGTATTTTTTTCCCTACGGGTTCTTATTTACACCGAATATATTTTCTATTCAATCCTCTGGTAGAAAATTACACGGTTTTCTTGGAATACTATTGTATGTATTAAATGCACTCTAACGGAAGAAAAAGTTCACTCGTACATAGCCAAATTAAAATCACGCAGAAAAAGTAGGTGTACAGAATCTGATTATTATTTTAGTTTGCCTTGACAAAAACTGTCCAAGATTGTCTAGCGAGTATAAGGTTCAGAAAAATGTTTTGTGGTATATTGATCTGTTGACTGTCTTCGGTTTCGGTCAACATGCAGATCCGTTCTTGGGACAAACAGCATTTACCCCTAGTGACAGCACAATCCCACGCAAAAGAGTAAAAACAGATACCGATAGTACCCAATACTGATTTATCTGCAACAAAATGATAAGACAAATTACATCACTTTCAACGAAAATCATACAAATAAATCAAAAATTATGTAATAGAAAAAAGGCAACAACAGTCAATAAATGGTCTTAAGTTTCCATTGTAATAGCATATACATGTACCTATATCGTTTTCTGTTTTAACTATATAGTACCCATCGTTGATATATGCATTGTTACTGCTCACACCTATTTAAAGTGTGATTGGTCTTTGTAATTCGACTACCTAATTATATATAGCCAAGTGAAAAGATTGATTTACAATTTCCTTCTTAATAAAAAATCAAAGAGCCAGGTACGTTAGCTAATATCAACAGGCCCTGCAAAAAAAAATAAAAAAAATATGTTTGTGTATCCCAACTATCCATTTATATTTATAAAGTTTATGAAACAAAGTCTTCGTATATGTAATTATTTGGGCAGATCCAAGCTTCGTGTGCTGTTATGTAGTATCCAAACCTATGCCGTATCCGGAAAACAAGCAATTTTCTTCACTTTTCACTCGGTTTTTGGGAAAATTCGATGTAGCCGCAAGCATCGGCCACAAAAATATTTTAACCAGAAATACTTCAACATAAAAGGGATTGATTTATACAGGTTTCGTTCTGGTCGTGGGCTGCAGCCACAGTGAATTTTGTAAAATTCTGATACTATCACTCGTTTGCTTTATGGATCTTGACATGAGGGGAATGGAATTAGCTGGGTGTTTTAATAATATTCTGAGAAAATGAATAACAATAGGATGCATGCTTACTATGTAGAGAATCTAAATGATATAAAGAATTAATTTAATAATTCAGTTGTTCAAAATTCGTTGTCGCGACCACCTTTTTTACTTTAGTTTTCATTCCAGGCAACGACAATCCGGAACAAGCAAAACACACTTACATGTACAATGTATACCTAATATTATAACGTCTAAATTTTAGAAAGTGTGTTGTAAAAGGGTATAATTGAAATGTTATTGTGGTTGACGATTTTTTTTTTTTTTAATATAAAGACATCTTATGTGGATT